CTTCATTCAAATTAGTCCATAGAAAATCTGATTCTTGCTACTTTGAAGAGTCTGGCAATTTATGAATTTAAATCCGGATTGGGGGTTTTAAAAGTCTAAGTTTTTCTTTGGAGCCCCCCATATGTAAGTACTTTGGCATTCACTGAAGTGGTAATTTGTCTCTCTCTTAGACAATATGGAAAAGGCAGTTTCCTCTTTATCTTTCTTAGCTTGTATGCTTTTTCCATCCTCCTCTCCCCCCTTATAAAAAGTGGACATTATCATATAAATCTGTTTGGGAAGAATTAACAAAAATGAAAATGACTTAGAGGCAGAAAGTCAAAATGGATTCTCTGAAATAGGCGTTATGTGATCACTAAAATATGTTTTTGAGCCTTTTGAATCTTTAATTTACTGCTGATTCTTTATTTCACAGTTCCTTAGATGGTCTAGGAGTTTGTGTTTACTCAAACTTATTTAAATTTATTTTTGCTATTTATTTACCCAAAATATAAATTCAATAAAGCCACAAAAGTTATTCTCACTGATTTTGAAAAGGTTCCATAATATGACTAAGAAGTAATGACTCTAAGACTTTGTTTCGCAGACTTCTAAGCCTCCTTGAACCTCACCCCAACTGTGAGTGCTTTGGTAAAGGCTTAATATGGCGCCTTCCAAACTGCCTTAAATTCTGCTCTTTGTGAACAAAACTATTACTGATCTTCCCTTCTACAACTTCTTCTTGACAAGTAATATTCACTTGGCCCATGCCCATCACTTCTAGGAAACAGACCCCAACCGAACCCTCTTAGCTTGGTTTGCTTCTTCATTTATTGTTTCCACTACATTAGTACCTTGGTTCATGAATGCTTCTGTTTGCAAACAGTTAGGTTCTCAAAAGGGTCAACAAAATTTTGCTTCCATTCACAAACTCTACATTGGGTGACAAACACAACTGTGGCCATCGTCCCTATGCAAACAAAAACATGGCCACCTTCCCCAAAATCATAAAACAAGTTAAATTCATGAAGCTAAGTACCACTGTATATTATCATGGACACCACCTGTCCATTAATTGTATAGGTCAGGCACAATATTAGTTCATTTAATCTCCATGGTATCGATTCACTCATCAGATATTATTTCTGTACTATGCACGTATTTACTGTTTCAAGAATAGATCATGCTCCAAAGTTACCAGTGTTAGCAATTTCATAGAATTTACAGGAGAGAAGGATATTGACCAAATAATTTCAGAAATATGTGTACACAGCTGGAGACAAGTATTTAAGTGAAGGGAATAGAGTGTTACCAAAGTGTGTTACAAAGGCATTAACCTAGACTGAGTGTACAAGGAGGGGATGTACCAAGGAAATGAAGGCTGTGCCGAGAACCAGAACTCTGTGCGTGTGTGTGTGTGTGTGTGTGTGTGTGTGTGTGTGTGTGTGTTTGATGGCGGTGGTGGCTAGATATGAGGATTCTGAGGAAGAACTGATGGAGTGCTCAGACTGCAGAAAGAAGAATCTCTTGGCAAGTCATAGTGCAGTCCTTTTTGAGAAGGAAAAAATAGGCTGATATGAACGAAACAGAGAGGGCATTAGAGAAGAGTTTGCAGATACTAAAGTCTCATAAATATTCTAGTTTTTATCTAAAGGCAATAGGGGGACATCAAAAAGTTTTGAACAAATATGTGTGTTGTGAGTAGGCCTAAGGCAGGCATAATGATTATCTCTTTTTAAAAGTAAGGAAGCAGAGTCTCAGATGACCTGTGTAACTTTTCCAGAATTCATGCAGGTCACATAACCAAATGAGTGGCTTGCCTAGGACTTAAATACAGGTCAAGTGATACACTTTCATATTAGCAAATTCATGCTGCTATTCTCTCTCCCTCAATTCTGAAAAGAAAGCACTTATTCTGGGAATATTAAATAGAATTTATTGCAACCAATATGTTATTAAATTATTATAGTATACCAGATGCTGCTGTCTTATTCAATCACATCCATCCTGTAAGTGCAGGCCTCATTTTCTTTATATTCAATATAAGAAAACTGAGGTTCAGAAAGTTGGGTAATGTACTTTATTGTGAGAAAGGGTAATGGGGGGTATGAATACATTCTGTCTGACTCTAAATTTTAGATGAGCTCAGAACACAGTACCACCACCTTAGGGCCACCTGCAATGGATGAGAGGGGAAAATGAGACAGGAAACACAGAGACAAGGTAAGGTCTACAGCAAAGAGAGATGAAGGTAAAGGGAGGATATGAAAGATTTCAGGTGAAGCGAACAAGTAGGAAATGAGCTCTAAACACATTTGGGGCATGAGGTACGGGGAGCCTGTGGGTTGGCTCGACACCTTGGCAGATGGTGATATCATTTATCCTTAGGAGGGAGGCTGGGGCTGCTCTGCTCCATCCACTATTGGGGTAGAGGCAGGTCAGTGAACTCGGAGGGCCCTGGAGAGATCTAGACTGTTGGTCTTTGGCAGAAAGAGCTTTCTTTATTATTGGGAAAATTTATAACAAATGCTTGCTGCAGCGATGACCCATCTGCTCTGAGTTAAGGCGACTGGCTTTGCTAGTGCATCTTTTTTTCCCCTAAAGTTCCCACTCCTACCATTTTCTATCCTCTCATCTCCTTTGTTCTCTCTCTGAGGATGATGCTCATTGTGTTCCCCTGAGTCAGAGTGCAGATAGATAAGAATAGTATTTTATTAAAAGAATTTTTCCCTGATGGCTTGAGGAGAAAAAAGAATTCACAAAGCCCCAGTTCATTCAAAGAATCATACTCAATCCCCAAAGGATTGCCTTATACATTTAGAAATTGAGTTCCTGGTTTTTAAAATGGAAACATACAATCTCTTGGCAAAAAAATATATATAAGTGTGATTTATCATTCCAATCTTGCTGTCTATGTAATGCAGACATTCTACTCCTGGGAATAAATAGTCCTGTTTGCTTCAAAGCAGATGGTAAATGTTTAAGTTGTGACCAGACAACATGAATTTTATGGCCTGCAACTAAATGAAATAACCACACAAAATTATAACCATCAGGAAGCTAGACATTCCTTAGTATCCCCAATAACATTCTGCATTTATTTGGAATTCTTTTTTAATCTAATGGCCTCAGAACAACATCCTAATATAAAATGGTGGGACTTGTGTAATAGGGAGCTGCTCAATCTTAAATTTTAGACTCTCACCTGACAATCTCAAGGAAGACCCAATATGCTGTATTTATTGCAAAGTAAATACATGTCACCCTTGTCTGCATCAGCAGAGAAGTAACTGTGGGCATCGGCTGAAGGCAAAAATTATCCCAGCAATGAAGCCTCCTTGACAGGCTCTGCTCTGACTCACATCATTTGTCAGATCTCTGATAGAATACGGTCCCCTTGATAAATGCCATCTCCTCCTCCCGCACTGATGATGCCAGAACTGTGCAGGTAATATTTACAACTCCAGCCAGTGAGTTCAGCACTGCAATTTTACTCAGCAATGGAAAAAAACTCAGATGTACAAAAGCTTAGTTGTCTGAATAAAACTAAGTAGCCAGGATTCAGACCGTGAACTCTGCTTTGGAAATGTCCAAGAATCATTTGGACTGACTTCAAAGTAGTACTGAAACAAAGCCGACCTTGGGGTTATGAGCCAGGGGGAGCTGCCAGATTCAGGCAGGGCAAATACATCTGCTATTGTATCTCTCTCTGCTTGTTGTACCCACCGCAAGGGTGGCCAAGCTGCAGAAGCTGACTCTAAGGGCACAAGGGGCCCAGAGAACAGGGTCTAACTAGAGCCCTTCAGCCCCTCCCTCCTTCCCTTTATTCCTCTCTCCCCCTCCTTTCTCTCTCTTTCTCTCTTTCTAGGGCTTCGGGGAAAGTGGGAGAGGAGAAGGTTGCATTCACTGAAGCAAGGACCAGGCAAAGGAAATGATATAAGCTTGGAACCATGGAAAAGCTCAGTTATTTGGGGTTGGAATTGGAAGTAACTGCCGATTGACTGTTAACTTGGCTGCATGGCACTCAGACAAGTGGAGTTTACCCCGGTGGAGGCTATTTCCCCAGTGCTCTGGCAGTTAAGTAGTTTTCAGCATTAATCTCTCCATTTTTTTTTTTAGAAGAGGGCAGAATACATTTCTAAAGGCTCATTTGTGTGGAAAAGCAAGCTAGACTATCCTGTTCTAGGATGGGAAAATATAGTCACCTTCTGAGATGAGTCATGGTGGTTTGGGGTTGTGAATGACAGATAGGAGTAAGGCATTTCCCTTAAGGTAGGCCAGCAAACACTACATTATAAAAATAGGAATAACTACTGGTTACTTAATGTTTAGGATGACTAGGCACTATACTGTGCACTTTTTTCTTTTGAACTTCACAAATCCTTCAAAGGGAGGAGATCATTATTAATCTTTTATATATAAAGATATCAGAGTGATGAGATGCTTATGAATTGCTTAAGGTCACCCAACAAGTTGGATGTAAACCCTGGACTGACTCCAGCTTAATCACTCCTGAAGCACTAGTAACCTCCAACTATGGTCAAAAGAAAAGTTCAGACTTGATAGAGGTTGAAAATTCATCCTTGTATGTGTTTCAATTACCATGGTTGTTAGTTGACTCTGACGGTCACTGTTAATTCAGGGATGAAATATATTTTTTAGTTCTCTATTGGCCTCCACTGGATGTCAAGTGCAATTAATATTTAACCCTCATGAAATCTCTCATGAGAAGTTCTTCTGACCGTGTACTGTAGCATAGTGTGGTCTCTGGACCAGCAGCATCAGCACTGCCTGCATACCAGTTAGAAATGCAAATTCTCAATCTCCACTGTAGGCCCCTGAATCAGAAATTCAGGAGTGCCCTGGGTGACCTAGACCTAGGTGTTAACAATCCCAAAGGTCACAAGATGCATGCTAACATTTAAGAATCATTCTAAAGTACAAATAGAGTTTTTTTTTTCACATGGCAAAACTTTAAGATTTTCTTTCATTCTTTTTTTTTTCTTTAAAAGTATCTTTACCTCATTTCCAAGTCTTCAGTCTCTTGTGGCACAAATTTGTACAAGGCAACATAGGTGTTCATTTGTAGTGGGTCTTTGGAAGGAGGTTCCTGAAAGAGAAAAATCAAAGACCAATGAGAGAGGGGGTGTGCAGGAAGAAGAAATCACAAGAGAAAATAAGGAAAATAAGAAATGGAGAAATTAATGCAATGTAATTTCAGTATATGAATCTTAGGTGTTAAAAACTATTATTAATGATTTTCTCTCAACTTTGGGTTTATGTTTAACTTAACTGAGTTTCATTACAAATCATTTGAAAGCAGTTATTTGGAATTCATTGTCAGAAATACTAAAATTTTCAAATAATTTTTTTCTTTGATACAGCTGTTCATGAAAAATATCACAACTTTAGGTCCAGGAATGAGAATATTTTTGGTAAAGAAAGAAAGACACGTAAATATTAATAAACAACTCTCACTTCCCCAAACCAGCTTTTTATCAGCTGAAACTTGGGATCTAGTATATCAAAGGGCACCAGGTTTATCCATCTGGTAGATACTTATTAATGTTAGAGAAAAAGCAGTTTTTGGCCTCAGACTGATATAACATACCATAGTAACACTGCCTATGGATTGTGAAATTTTTCAGTAATGGTAATAAAAGCTACCAATTTTGATAGTTACTGTGTGATTTGATAGTTACTATGTTGCCTGCATTACCATAATTTAACTGCATAACAGTCTTCTTAGGTAGATTTTATTATGGTCTCCAATCTGTAGATAGTCTTGTAAACATAATAAAATTTAGCTGTTAATCAAATTTTAAGTGCTATAGAAAAAATATATATTTTATAATATAAATTTTATACTACATAATATACTATCTAATATATAATTGAATAGTATATTTGAATGTTATAGCAAATATAGTACATAATAAATATATGTATATAAAACAAAAGTTGTACACAACTATATGTATCCTTCTCACATGATTCATTCTACTCTTTGAAATGGTATCTTATATTCTATTATACTATTGTAGTAAAATTATATGCATATCTGTATGCATGAACATATATCATATAATAAACATATATTTATATATAATGTAATTATACTACAATTCTGTAACTTATGCATTATATAGTATATATCAACTTCTATGAAACTTAGATGAGGGAAACAAAAGATGCATGATACAAAAGTTATCATTTTGATTTTTATGCACTGTGATATGTGTTTAATTCATAGGATTTTGCTATGGCACATTATGCTATATCATTCTGTTTTACTCTCTAAATATACTGGTTCAGGACTCACTAAGTGGATCTCGTGACTCCCTTGGGTGGTGATCTGCAGTTTGACCTAAGGCTCCTTCCTATCTGATCTGTCTTTGGTGACTTCATAAATACCTGGTGGTTTATGTCCTTTGCTTGGTCACTGAAATCATCCGTGCCATTTTCGGGATATGTAAACACTGAAGGAGACAAGAGAAAGCAATCACCACAACTTGAAAAACGTGACTGAAGGTTGTCACCTTATTCCATGCATCATAGCTTCTACTTTACTGCTGGTTACCTTTTCCTCATCTTTTCTTTTCCTGCTTTCATTTCCTCTCCCATATGATGCTTTTCCTGCCTCCCCAAACAGCACTCTGCACTATGTTTTTTTGGGTCCCCACAACCTCTGTACACCCCTGACTAGCACTTGTCCCTGGCACTGGGGGAGAACTGTGTCATTTGGCAGTGTTTTCCTTAGGAGCAGAAGCCATACCACTCATCTTTAAAGAATGTGTCAAATTTTGAGGATTGAAGCTGTATTTTCTTTTTTTATTTTTTATTAAGTTTATTGGTACAATCTAGGTATACAGTACAGTTACATTCATCATTGGGATCTTGTACCTTTACATAATAGGTCTTAATTCTAATTTTTTCCCCTTGTCCCTGCCCTACCTTCACCCCCTCCTCCCCTCCCCATTTACAAACACTTTATTTCCATTTTTTCAGTTTCTCACATTTTTTTCCTCTCCCTTATTACCTTTCCCCCACCCTTCCCACTTTCCCTACACCTTTAGCCCTTTACTTCCTATTTCACATTATTAATTATCTCATTAGGATCCTGTGTACTATTATAGTTTTCCACACCAGAGAAACTATTCGGTATTTCTCTGAAGCTTTATTTTTAACCTAATCTCTTACTTTCAATGCATTATGGCTATTATATGGTTTTTCTTTTAGTTTATTATTAGAATGTATAATTCTTGTCCTTTTGCATTTCAGCAGCCGCTCTTGGGCCTTCATAGGAAACAAACCTTCTCAAAATGGACAGGAGTTTCCACAGTCCACACGCACAGCTGTGGGAGGTCCCTGAATGAGACAGAGGCCTCTACCTCAGCTAACTTGATCAGCCAGATTGACCCCAGTGACCAACATCATAACCATATCCTTCTCACCAATTGTACCTTCTTTAGACAGAATGTGGCAAACGTTTCCAAATTTATATGATAGAGTTACGGTGTCTAAATTAATCTAACATTTGGATGACTCGGCGTTTGAAAATGCTGCTTTATTCTTTCCTTTTATTTCCCTTTAGATTATGGAGAAAATATCACTAAAGGGAGAGAAACTTCATGGGATGCTGTATAACCTATTTCATTAGCATGTTGACAATCTCTACTGTTCTTAAAATAGACTCACAACTGTGAGGTATAAAACACATTTCAGAACATGAGCCCCTGGAAAAGCACAGAAGCTTATTAAATCTCTATTCTACTCAGTTTATAGTTCCAGAGTTCATGGGTACAATTCCATTATCCCTAGGAAAGCCATATGCAATCATTGGTAGGGCTCTGGTTTATGGGTAAATAGAAGACAAGGCCCAATTCCACTGACCTCATCTGTGTTATTATTTGGCTACTCAACTTGGTGTTTACCAGTTTAAATAGGGTAGAGACCAGCAACATCTTTATCTGGTTCTGTGTGACTATCTGCAATCCTGGTATAAACACTTGATTCTATAAAACTGGATACTTCTAAAATAAAGTAAATATTTGAATGGGAACATGTAAAAAGACACTTCTTAAGGAATTTTGGGTTGAATGAAAAGGGGGAACTACAAAAGGTGTGTATATGGTATTCAGTTTAGTCTGTTTTTATAATTTCACATGATGTTAGTTTTATTTTTGAATGGCTATTTTGTCAAAGACTTCAAAATGCATACTATTTTTGTGAACTATGCTGAAAATTATTTGAAGTGACCTTAAATGTACTTGCAGATGCATAATTACAAACAGAACTGGAAGGCTGCAAAATGATTTTTGAAATCTACTCCTCCAACCTATTTCTAAGACATTGAAGAAAGAGAATAAAAATGAGGTAACTATTTTATTAAAACATTTAACATACATCATTTATTTTTGGCATTTTACATTCTTTTATGAAAAATTTTGCTTGTTTATTTGAATACTTATGATAAGTATTAAAAGAATACATCCATTAATGCAGGCATATTTTCCAAGGCAAAATAAATCTTTAATTTTTGCAACATCCTCCAACGATCTTATTCTTTTCCATGATCTGTCTTTCTCTGTGACTCTACACGTCTGTGAAGTCCATATCAATTGCTATGCTTTCTGAAATAATTATTTGGGTTTTTCTTTTTTAACTTGCAAATGCAGCAAATTATATAACCTAATTATCTGATATAGGCCCAAATTCGAGTCCCTGGCTTACATCTAAATTGGTTATCCTGCAGTACCTTTTTAAATTATATTATTGGGTTCAGTTTACTAGGATTTTGTTTCAGATTCTGCATCTGTATTTAAGAGGGAGACCGGCCAGGATCCTTTCTTCATCCTTGTTTGGTTTTGAAGTCAGTATTGTAATAGCCTCATAAACCAAGTTAGAGGACGTTGCTGCCCTTCAAGCTCACTGTGGTATCCTGTTTCTCTGAAAAAGCTTATGTAATCTGGAAATTTTCTACCTCTTAAATGTTTGGTAGAATTTATGTATAAGGATGTATGAGCCGGACATTTTTATTATGAAAATTTTTAAATACTGATTCAGTTTTTATAAGGTTAAAACAAATCAAACTTTCCATTTCTATTTCTTCTGGAATTAGGCTTTAGTCACTGCTATCTTTCTTGGTATCAGATGTTTTAAGAAAGACTTTTAAAGTTTATTGGCATGAATTTGGCTATGACATTCTTTTATTTTCTTTTTAATCTCTGCAATTCTCTCTTTTTTATTATTGCTTTTTTGTTTTCTCTCTCATATTTTACAAATTGTTAGAGCTGTAAATTTTATTATTTTAAAAATGTACTCAGGATTCATTAATCTTTGTTAGAAATTAATACATTTTGCTTTTATCTTTATTACTGCTTTTGGGGTTTATTCTATTTCATTTTCAGACTTAAATATGGTGCTTAGATTGTTTCTTCTCAGATTTTTTAAAATAAAATCATTTTAAAGCTCTATTCTTTAGTCACAATAATGCCATCCCTCAAACTATGATATATAAGGTTTTTACTGTTACTTAGTTTTAAACATATTTTGATTTTTTGTTATGAATTCCCCTTGACACATGAACTTTTAAAAAGTATATTAAAATCTATGAAATTATTGCTTTTTCTAGATATCTTCTGAGTACTGATTTTTACTTTATTTGTACTGTGGACAGGAAGATAGATCTATATTAACTATTTGTAATTTATGAAGCTTGTTCTATGGTCTAGAGAGTGATCATTTTTATAATTGTGCCATGTGTTCTTAAAAAGGTGAATCCTACATTTCTCAGATAAAGGGTCTTTTCTGAGTCAGTTAGGTGAAGATTGTCCAATGTGTCACCAAACCCTTTAAATCTATACTGATGTGTGACTTGCCAATGTGTGAGAGGTGTGTTAAAATTTCTTACTATGAAGGAGGATGTCAGTTTTCCTAAAAATGTGGTCAACTTCTTGAGTTTGTATCAACTTCTTGAGTTTGAGGCTTTGCATTAGACAGATGCAGGTTCAGAATTTACAATTTCTGATGAAATGAACATGATCATGTAACAATGTGTTTTTATTTCTAGCAATGGATTTTGGTCTTAAACTCCATTGTTCACAAATTAAAATTGCTGTGTAATTTTTCCTTTAATAGCTGCCCGAGATAATTATTCTATTCTTTTGTTTATATATCTAAAAAGTTTTCTATTTTTCCTGTATTTTAATTTTTTATTTCTGTAATAACTTTAGAAAATTCTTTTACTTTTCAACTATCCATATCCATATGTTTTAGATATTTATTAATAGTATTCATTACTTAAAAGTCTAGTCTGAAAACCTTTTTCTTTTATCTAGAGTACTTAATTGGCTTGCAGTGATTTTGATGACTGATAAATTTGAATTCCTTACTAAACATTTTATATTTCCTATGTGTCCTAAAGTTTTGTTTATTTTTTTCCCTTCCTACTTTCTTTTGAATTGATTGGCCTATTTCTCCTTATCATTCAGTTTTCTTTCCTTTCCAGTTTGCACAGTTTCATCTATTTTTTTATTCTTTGAACTTTTATGAAGCACACTTTAATACAACCTAAACTGAAATATTTTAAATCTTATCCCATGTAATATGAGAATCATTGAATACCCATTTCCTTTTTACATACCGATATTTTATTTTTTTATTTTTAATTTTTTGGTATTGGGGATAGAACTTGGGACCTTGCAAGGCAGGTGGTAGAACCACTGAGCTAAATTTTCAGCCCAAACCAGTATTTTAGATAATGTTTTATTTGTAACTTAATTTGTATGAAGCTAATGTTTGTAGATTTAACTACATGTTTATCACTTTCTTTGTTCATGATTTTCTCTGGCTTCTCAGTAGCTTTGTTGAGGTTTGCTTATATTTGGTGAGTTTGGTTGTTAGCGCATGGTCTTGGTTGCAAGTTTCTGAGGTCTGAGTTTAAATTCTCTTCCTCCAGAGAAGGTTCGCATTTGCTTCTCCTAAAAACCTGATGATTTAACCACTTTTGGCATTTTAAATTAAATTAAACAGAAATTTCATATTATTTTACTTTGTCTATACAGGTAGTAGAGGTTCAGACCCTAAACAAAGAGACTGTTTCTTTTTAGTTTCCCTTCCTTCCTTCCTTGCTTCGCCCCACGCTCCCTCTTTCTCTTTCTCTCTCCTTTCCTTCCACCCCACTTGGCTGTTTCTGTCTCCTCTCCCTTTTCCTTCTCAAACTGAGTTAAGGCTGAAAGTCACTAAATTCTCCTAGTGACATGAAGGGTGCCTTTTGAGGTATCAAAATTTTCCCAAAGGGCCCCTCATCTAACTTATTCTGCTGCACAAACCCCAGGGTTTTTGTCATTGTTCATAGATGCTCCAGGTTGTACAGAGATAACACTGGCCTTCACTCACTTATGTCTCTAGATTCCTACTTTAATGTCACTTGTAACTTCTAAGGAATGGTCTTATTTTGCTTCCATGCACTAATCAGAAATTTATTTTTCGTTCTCTTTTCTATTAGTTTTATGAGTGTTAAAATGGAAAAAAAAATATCTGAGAATCCAATTTCCTATATGGCTGGAAAGAGACTCTTGTATGTTTTCAAAGAGTTGTTTTACCTGGTCTAGAGAATAAATGTGTAATGTGGGAGTGCACCAAAAAAGCATTTACATGTGCAATTTAGAAATTGTCCACTGGAGGGGGACAAGACCAGGGGCACTGGCCTACTCTGCCATTAAAACAGCTCTTGACTTCTTTGCTTTTTTTTTTTTTTTCTTTGCGTTGTTGTTTGGTGATATCTTAAGATTTGAGATATAGAACAAATGAATGTTAAAAGCAAGAATAAGTTTTCCCAGTCTGAATTTGCCTTTCTTCCTTTTGGACAAAATTCTCTTGCTTAAATGCAAAGTAATATTAATATTACTTTCTATAATATCCTCAAGTGGATGTAATTAATCTTGTCTTTGAAGAAAATTCCTAGGATTTATATTATGTATGTCCTGTTCTCTCTATTTCTCTTCCAGGAAAACTATGCTCACATACAGTCATGCAGAAATGCATTCATTGAAGGAAGCCAGTAATTTCCTGCTTGGCATTTTGAGCTGAAATAGGAAGCCTGGACATTACTTCTTTTGGTTATTACTTTGTTATGAATAAAGCTTCTAGCAGTTAAGCCAAAGGTGAAGATCAACACATTTCCCACCTCTATCTTTTACCCATCTATGAGTAGTGTTGAGGACAACACTCGATGGAAACAGTTGATGTGGCTCAAAATAATTTGTGAGAGAAAAAAGTGATTGCATTCTTAGCAGTAAATAAAGTAGGGATTATATCCTCTTTTAAGGTGGCTTTTGGAGATGTTCCTCCAGAAATCCGGCATAATACCGGACTGGAAGAAATAGTATCTGTACACATGCTATTTGTTTTCAAAAGATATAAATGAAACATGTAATGCAGAACTGATTATGCCTAGGATCCTAGACACTGCCTCTGAAAAACCGACCTCTCTTGCCATGACCAAGAAGACCTTTAGGACATTGAACTTCTTCTGGAGTACAATGCTTTATCCACATTGTTTCACAAATTACATGGATAGGAGATTAAAATCAATAAAAAAATTTTTGAAGCCAACTGCTGCATTATTAATCCCCTTTGCTTCTAAGAGTAAATTGTAAAAAAAAATATTTCTGATCAAAGGAATTGTTCATAGATCTCTAAAGCTTTTAAATGGTTATAGTGTGCTAAATACTTGCAACAGAACTCTGAATTAGGCTGTGAAATTGCCCCTTAAAATACAAGAGATGGAAAATAATCAACTTTGTGTCTTTGAGTGTTTTACTGTGTGCCCTGGTTTCCTTAGCTACATGGTATGCGGTGTGTGTGTGTGGGGTGTACTGGAGGGGAAGGAGTCAGATTAAATGACTTCTGATCCTACTCCTTAGACATTAATGACCATATAAACCATAGATTCCTTGCAAAGTCAGGCTCAGTAGATCTAGCTTACACGAAAGTCTGCATTTCTGTCAGACTCCCAAGTAATGCCTGGGGGC